TTATAGCATATACTGTATTTGCATCCCTCTCATGTCCTCACTTTTTCAGTTTGGCAGAAGTTATGTATAAATTATATAAGTGAACTGATATACAAAGTCAAACAACAGAGGCGACGGACAAAGTCAAATGAGAAAAACTTGTGCATATGACAGTAATATATGCGAGTTTGTACTAAAAGAATAAACATTAGGGGCCCGATGTAGAACACCAAGAAGTACTACTTATTTAGACAGAGCATAAAGCTGGTTCCCGTCAGTCCAGTCACTTTATGAGGAGGTGGATTTTAAACTGCGTTTGAGGATGTGGAGAGATTGTGCAGTCCTGTTGACGTTACTCTCCAGGAGTGCAAAAACAACTAACCTTAACCCTAACAAAATAACCTTGATGCATGTTTGCTTTCTCGTTTTCTCAAATAGCATCTCCTTATTTGCAAATTAAACCTTAATTTTAGCCATCCTCTTTGGCTACATCTTCAACACTGCAAAAAAAAAAAAAAAAGGCACGTTTCGGATATCAGATTTTCGTACGGTCATGCCTCTGTTTCTGGCATAATTCTACTAATTGGGGTTTCTGATCATTAAGATGAGATGTCCATCAAAAGAAGAGAGCTGTGGTGAACCCAGAATGCACCCATTTGACTGATGTTCTGTCAACAAATGTTTGCACTGGACCATCACATTCTTTCTTTTTAGTCTGCACCCTGCCATTTTCTAAACACTCATGCATTTCATTAATCATGTATGGCTAGTTTTTAGGAGTTAATTGGGTGGGATGAGAGGCTTGTTGACACAAAAAAGGACTAATAAAGTAGATTTATGTGTGATGGATAGCATTTACACTCAATAATGAGGTTTCTGCACTTTTGTATGCACATAACTCTTGCCTTAATGAAACACCATTTGTTAAACTATAATTTACAGCTTTAACAGTTTTCTGACAGTTCTTCTGCTCTTCTCCCTTTCTTCTACTGACACAGTAGCTTAGCACTTTAGCTAAATATCAAACAGTAGTTTAGCATTTAGCTCAACAGTAGTTGTAGCATTTAGCATTATTCCATCTCTCACTAATAGCTGCTGTTGGCAGCAAAAGTTACTTGGCCTCACTTGAAATGAAAAATTAGTTTATTACCCAACTTACCCAATATACAACTTAGGTTTTATTTTTATTGCTTGGGTTATTGGTTCTATCAGTTATTTTAACATGATGCTGGCAAAGTACGTGCTGAAATCTCTGACTACAGTGACATTGCTGTAGGTTCAGTGGGGTAAGAATCACAAGCTGTCAAAAATAGCAATAAGTTTGCGATTTGCCTTTGATTTGTCTTCCAAATTAGTTTGACCAACCAAGTATTATATATGAAAGTAGAAAATATTATTTTCAGGGACGCTGCCAGATCTCTACAATTTTTGAGTACAGTGTTAGCTGACATGGCTGATGGCCTGAGCAATAAAAAAATATAATCTAAGTTGTTATAACGCATAGTTTAAAAAAAAAAAAAGTGCAACAAAGAACATGAACAAAAGATTATTATAGCCCGATAATACAGTTGTTTTAAGGTATAACCCTACTGAAATATTGTCTACTGCTATTCAAAAAGTCATGGGAAGATAGGCGAATGAGAAATTTATCATGAGACTACAGTAAGGATGTAAGTGAAACACTGTACGGAGACACAAAAGCATGGTGAAAATATAATATCCTGACACGACATGGACGCAGAGCTCAATAAAAAAGAATTGTTTGTTAACCTCCAGTGTCTTTATGATTGACAGAGAGCCTCAAACACCTTTTCTTTTATTGTGAGTCAGTGTGAGGCAGACAGGTGTTCTTACACCAACTTGCTGTCATGCATGACACATCAGTCAGGCAGTCAGCTAGCCAGCAGGTCATCCAACCAGTCCGTCAGCGTTTCATCTGCTCATCCTGTAAGTTCATGATTCAGCCAAGAAACCAGCCAGCCAGCCAGCCTGGCAAAGAGCAGCAGAGGAAAGCATAAATAAAACATACCGTACAAGTGAAGGCTTTAGAAGTATTGAGCTTTCCAGTTCCTCTGGGCACCAGACAACTCTTTTTTTCTCTCTCTCTTTCTCTCAATTTGTCTTCTTTCAGACAACTTACTTTCACTGCATTACTTTATCTTTGCTGTCTGTATCTTTCTACCTCCTTATTCTGTTACCCTGCCTCCTTTTTCTGCATCATACAGTATATACAGCGTCTTTGCTGGTTTGTATAACATTTATTGACTTCTTCTGTTGAATCCTGTTAATTTAGTTAGAAATACAAATTTCAATTCAACAATGTAATTCTCAGATTTTAAATTCCAGAAAATATACTGGAAACAGCCATTTCCCACATGAAGCTCATTGTGTCATGTTACTCCATTTTCTCTTCGGCTGCCATCTCTATTTATTTTACCGCCTTCACTGGAAAATGTCGTCTCTTGTCCGTCTGGCTGTTTCACGCACACTTCCTCTCAGCTTCCTCTCTCTGCTGAGCCGTTAAAAACACACAGACTGTGCTGCTCTAAATGTGCCCCTGCACAAGGTGCAGAATACTGTAGCAACTATAGCAACTTATGAGTTATAGCCCTGCAAGAGAGCCTGAGGCTGGAACACACTCAAAGGAAAGAGAGGGGAGGGGTGTCTTCCGTCTGTGGTGTACTAGGTGATGCTGCACTGTGTGTGTGTGTGTGTGTGTGTGTGTGTGTTGGGGGGGGGGGTAAGTGTGTGTAGGTACAGGGTGCATCATTACCAGTGACCCAAACGTACTGGCCTAAATGTTCAGTGTTAGATTTATAGGAAGATAGAATGTACTACCAAAGCCCTGTAAGGCAAATGGTAATGCTGCGTACACACAGACATATTGTGCAGTTTTCAAGTTAAGTAGCAAGGTTCACTTCAGTTTAATAATTAGATTGTACTCTAAGGATTATGGAGCACAGTATTCTGGCCATGTTTCCATAATGCACCATTACACATGGGTGACAGGTAGGCTACTGTAAATTCATGTATAATACAAACTACTACTATACAATGTACAACTATATCATTATATAAAAAAGTTTTATTAGATATTTTTTATCACATATTCTTCAAAACTGTGAAGTCAAGTTGAGCTGTCAGGCCGTCACATCTCAAGTAAGGCGAGTCCAAGTGGAGTCGCAAGTTCTCATTTTCAGTGGTTAGTTTGTGTGATACCACAGCAAAGATTTGATGGTGAGCAGATTAACATGTTGCTTCACAGAGAGTAGCACTATTTAGCCTATATATTAGGTAAATATAATTTTATATATAACCTGTTTTTCTTAAATAGTGTTTTAGTTAGTTTACAGATAAAATTTGTTAGAAACCAAAAATATAAAAAATGGGGAGGGGGGGGGGGGCATACTGTACCTGCCAGAGCAAATGAAAGTTGAGTTCAGCTAGGGCTGCACGATTAGTCTAATTGCAATCGCGATGTCGTCATGTGCGATTACATAACCGCAAAAAGTGTGCGATTCAATAAAATAGAAAAAGTGTGTGTGACGCTTTCTTCTCTGTGTGCGCTGCAGTCTGCTCATTATCTCGAGTGGGCTCTGGCCTGTGGCTCTGAAAACATATGGGCCTATGTGCAATCAGAAAAATGATTCATGAGCAGAGTGCCAGTAACTTTAAAGACAACAACCTACCGTTAATTGTTCAAAACATAGTCGGACGCGCCACCGGATCACCACGAGAAATGGCGGTTCTCCGCTGTTATGCCGAGTTTTGCATGCCTGCTGAGAATTGCATGCACCTCCCAAAAACTGCTTTTAAACGCTATAATGTCCTTTTGTGGGGTACATCAGTGGTGATAAATGATTTGAAGTGTATATTTTCTGAACGTTTAGAGTCGTTAATGATTTATTACACTAAGTAGAAGTACCATTCCTTATGATTCAGCTAAAATATGTGGTGATAACCGCGTCTGATTAGTGTGCACAGCAAAGTGTCTGAAAAGGACCTTAAGAGGTGGATGCATAATTCGGCAGAACAGATGTTGGAGGCTACCTGCCGAGATTTGCATCCACCTCTTTTCTCAGCATGAAATTATCGGCAGGCAGAATTCGGCACAACACCTGTTGCTCTCTGACAGAGACAGAGAGACGATGGCAGCAGGTGAAGCAGTAAGACAGAAGAAAACTGGAAGAAGACAAGGAAGATTTGGGTTTGGCTTGCTGGCGTTTTAACGCTGTATCGGCGCCTTTTGTTGGTGCCTGGATGGGGCGGGACATTAAAAAAGGTTTGACGTAGCCTACTACAGCAAATCATTAAATGTTGAACAAAATGATTATTGACAAGTTAGTTCTTAGCATTAACAAATTAGAGACAGATGTAGTGCCATTTTTAGGATTAAATAAATAAATAAATAACCCACAGAAATTAAACAGCTATAACTGGATTTTATATTCAGCTAGTGGTAAAATAGTAGGCCATACTATTATATGAAATTATAATGAATATAGTAATTAATATAGGCTATTATTGTTATACTAACAGTATACTATTAATTGAAAATTATACTGTTTATTTAATGTTATAATATTATACTAATAGACTCTAGAGATGCTAGTTCCTCCTCCAGGTTGTAGATAGTGTCTCTGCAGTGGACAGATGTAGGTTGAGCTAGTGCCAGGATGCCAGTGGGCCAATATTTACTCCTTCTAGCCGCCTCCTCTGTAGAGCAACACGCTCCCTTAGTTCTGTTTTACTAGTCATTGTTATAAATATTGTTTATCGCTTAACTTTGATCAAAAACATTTTTCAAAATGTCAGTATTTTTTTCATTTTCCTTGATAATCAAGCAAGTAGACTCATAGTACCATTTGTTCCATTATAATCGAATTGACCAACTCCTGAGTAAAACATTTTGGTCTTTAGCTATGTTCGATTTACTTTCTTTTGCTTACATAAGCTTGGTTTAATATCTGCCTTGTGAAGCTGACCTGGTAGCGTGGGTTTATCTTGGCTGCTGGAGACAAAGATTGATCAATGCAGTAAGAATGAACTAAACACTAAAACCAAAACAATGGGGTAAAGGAGGCTAATTGGTTCTGTAGTGCTGCAGAGTGGGGTGATATATCTCTGTGGGTTCATTACTATAAGCATACCATTCACATTGCAGAGTAATTTCATTCATTGTAACATATATATTATTATTTTAATACAGTGTTGCTAACTAAAAGAGTCAAATATTTAATCCGTGAGAAGTGAAAGCCTACATATATAAATGGTCAGACATGTGACTTTTGTATAAGTTTACCTAAAGTGAAAAGTTACTGGAAGCAATTTAGATTCCAGGTAATTGTGGAATTGTTACTCAACTACTTATTTGTGTGTGTGTAAATAATGTTACAGTGAAACGTTTGTGATTCTTTTAATTATTAAAACAAGGCACCTCCTTCCTGTGGTCATTGTTTATCAAGTAGCTGCTGGATATACTGCATAAGACAAACTGCGTGCTGCAATCAACACACTATTTACCTCAATCATACATACACAGTCAACGTACTATAAAGTGTTGTACTGTGTTAGTAAAAGTACAGAAAACAGGAAGATGGGAGTGAGGAAACTTTTGATGATGTAACTGAGTGGTAAAGCAGAACAGAACGGTACTGAAACCAACAACTAAACAACATCACCTGACTCTCCTCTCTTCTCCTCTCCTTTCCTCTCCCGCTGTTCTTAATGCCATTACCAACCCGGACTGGAGTGGACCGCTCTGGACACGGCAGCCCTTGGCCGTTGCGGCGAAAAAGTCAACCGAATAATGAAAATACAACATTAATAATCATCACGCTGTGGGCATTCGCGACCCTCACTTAAAAAAGAAAGAAAAAAATAACTTTGTTGCTGGATTACCGTGCAAAAATTTGGAAAATGAATGACATAGACACACACAAAGGCAGGGGGAGAGTGTCGGACAAAAGGTGAGCACGGTTTGCCGATCTTACCCCTTCCATTCATCTATCCCTCCCTTTATCATCCCCCCACCTCCACTGTCTCCTCTCTCCGTTCTGTCATTCTCTCTGTCCCCTCTGTGCTCTTGCCTTTGTCTGGGTCCGCCAGACTCTGGCCGGACCCAGACAAAAGAATGTTGCCTGTCATGAAGAAAGAGCAAAGGTCTTGGCTATCCAGGGGGTGGCGGGGGGTGGATGGGTGGATGGGTGTCAGGGTTGGAAAGGTATTGTCAAAGCTGTGGCTATCCATTGTTGTTTCTGGGCTCGCTCCTGATCCGACGCCTACCTCGCCCATCTCTTCTGTCTCCAATTTCCTTCTCTGGCCACCTTTTCCCTGGGCCTCTGTCTTTTTCCAGAGCGAGGGATGGGAATGTAGAAAAAGGAAGATGCGACAGATGTCTGGCACGAAGCTGTTCGCCCGTTCAGCGGCATGGCTGCTTCAAGCTCGGTGGCGTTCCACACTGTCTGCTTCTCCTCGCATGGGGCTGCTTGTTAATACCCCAGGGGAGGTGCGGGTGCCTCCAGTGAGGGTGCAAACTTTGGCTCAGTTCAGTGTTGTTGCCCGGTCCCTTCTTACAATCTGCTTTGTTAGACCCGAACATGACTTTCTAAAATCTTTCTACTGTATGTTTCTTTGTTTTTGAGTGAGTGACATTGTTCCATACTTAACCAAACCATATGATAACCTTATTATAAAATACAATGACAATGGATCGTTAAAGATTAAACCAGTAGTTTCCAACCTTTTTGGCTTTTGACCCTTAACAAAAAAAAACCTGGTTCTTAATGGAGCCCTCAAATGTTAAAGAGACTCTGAACTTCTCAGATTGTGCCATTTAAATAACGGCTTCAGGTAAAATGATCCAATATTTTACAAAAAAAGCCCAGATTATAGAAAGATTTGGGTATAAATATAGGAAGCTGAACATTTTTTCTTCCTTCCTGCCCCATTAATCATCTCATGACATCCCAGATTTATCTTGTGAGCTTTGCAGGTTCCAGACCCCTAAATTGGGAATCATAGGGCTGAACTGGACCTGACTATAAAGTAGTTCAGGTTAGCTCCTCGACTAGCTACAACAATAAAATTCTGCTTACATATTGATACAAAGTAATAATAACTATCTAATAATGTGATGATAATAATCATAGTAATATATCAGCCACAGGTGCCTTTTCCTGCAGAACATGTACTTTTTCTCAAACTATATTTTGTTCATAATACCGGAATACTTTTGTTTAAGTAGGGTTTTGAATGTAGGACTTTTAGTTGTGTTGGATTTCTAGATTATTGTATTGGTACTTTCTGAATCTGAATTCTTCTTCTACCACTGAATGTTTTATGTAGCAGGGCCGCAGCCAGGATTTTAGAAATACTCAAGTCATAATTCCCCCGCAGAACCCTAAACATCTAAGACAATAGAATTTTTTGACAATAGCCACTACGGCTGTGCGATAATACAAAAAATAAATATCCCGATATAGAACATTTTATGTAAATTCAGTGAAATATGGCATTTCCAACTGTAACTCGGGATATTTCTCTGCATTTTAAAGGTGGGGTAGCTTAAGTGATTCTGGAGAAATCCAACACCATGAGAAATACCATTATAGAGTGAACAACGACACAGCAAGTAATGTCACTAATGTTAGCAGGTTGTGTATTAGCAAACTGTCGCTACTTGCTGCTGCAAAGCTAACATGAGAGGACGAGACGGTCCCAGAGCATCACAGCAGCTCCAAACAGCGACACTCACAGCTCTCCTGCTACTACAGCTAACATCACAACAGCAGCATGCCTTGTCGAACTATAAATTAAGCTGTAAGTCCGTCGGCAAGTTACTCAAGGTTACCTGGTAGTAGTGGAAGAAAGGACCACGGTGAAGTTAGTTTCAAGTTGGACGTTCGATAGAAAACGAAGCCCAAATAGCCACAATACAAACTGTGTTAAATATTAGAATTTCAGCTTTTAGTTATCCTTGTAATCTCCAGAGTTAAAAAAAATCACAACTCAAAGTCCACTTACTAGCTTTTTGTTTTAGAACTTTCAAGAAACTTTCCATCTCAACTTTATTTTGTTAACTTTATTTTGAAATCCTTCCATAGTTTTTGTCAAAATACTATGGAAAAATACCAGAATCTGTCTAAAAAACACAATGTATAATATGTGTGTAACCATAATGCAAACCTTTAAAAATTTACAGAAATACAAAATATGAATCCACAGCAGATAAAAGCTTTTTAAATGTAGTCTATAAAGCCCCTTTACTTTGACATGGTTACAGTAACATGATTTCGTGCTGCGTGCATTTGTGCGACAGTCATTCGTTTTGAAAAGGTTTGGGGAAATCCTGGTCAGGTGTCCGACAGCCTGTTGTCAAATGACAGTCAGCTCTCAGAGACAAAAGTTCAAGCCATGACTCAGCCTCTCTCCTAATGTTAAACTGTAGTTGATCTTCTCTTTGTTTGAATGATTAGTTTAATATTGAAGCTGAAGCTGTTGCCATACATTGATGATAGTCAGAAATAAAGAGCCTGCTGTGTCAGGATTGGGATACAACACAAGACATAGAGGCCAGAGGTTTCAGATTTTAATCTAGTTTTAGTGTCTCACATCCCTAAACTTTAGTCTGCGATTTTGCATTGAGTTTTGCTATGCAGCAGTCTGGGGACAAATTGATTATTCAGTCCGGAGCCCAGACAGCCAATTGTCTCCTGCTCTGCTTTGATTCACTGAAATGTCATTCTGACTGATGCCAGCGGTGATAATTTCCTCAGTGGCACAGTAAACACTAAATATTTACTGAGTCTGGATAGTCACCGGCTGATACAAATATCACCATTTAAATCAAATTTAAAGTGGTCTGGAAAATAACCGGCCGGCACATTACGTTTACATATAAATGGAAACACCTTTTCTGTGTTAAGTAGTTTCTCAATAACATATGGATGTGTGTGGGAGAAGATATGGCTTCTGCAGCTTTAAACTGAGACAACAGTGAGTGTGATGACTTTGATTTCTTACTTTATTTTCTCTATTGTTACAAATTAAAACCTCTGACAAAATTGCACAGTTTTCTCATTATGAACTCTAACCAGCAATTTTAGAGCAAGCCAGTTATTGTATATGATAGATACCAAATTTCCCATTTTCATTTAATATTATAGGTTAGAAATTATAAATATGCTAACGTGATTTTCAGTAATTCCTGAAAGTCTCAAAGTCGTGTCCGTGTGTCAGCAGTCTGCATGCAGTTACTGGCTGCATTGTAGTTTCTCTGTTGTGCCAGCAGATGGGGAAGGAAACGTCTTTATGGGATAATGAAAGTATGTGCAGCAGCATAGTGGGAGATGATTGCAGGGCTCAGGGTCTCTGCTCTGACCACTTGCCGGTTTGCTGTTCTTTGATGAGACAAACTTTTGTCTGTGTGGTTGATGACAAATGACAAAGGATATTTTAATCTTCAAAAATGCACGAGTTCAGTTCTAGTTCAAATTTTTCTGTTTTTATAATTCAGCTGCTGTTGCAGATTATTTACAGTTTCCAGTAAAGAAAAAAGGAACATATGATTTGCTTTGTTGTAAGCAGTAAAATACTTACATTTTCTTGTCAAATCATTGTTTTGTAAAATGTTATGAAGTCCTTTGTTGCACTCTACAAAACATTCTTGATTTTTAAAAGTAAAGAAGTTTTTTTTCTTGTTGACTTGTTTAAATTTATTTATCTTTATTTTAAATTTCAATTCAATATGATCAATTGAAATCTTCAATTATAATTGAAAAAACAAACAAACAAATTACAGCACTCTAAAAATGTTTGTTAACTTCATTCTTACAATTAAATTAGTTCTTAAGAGCTCCATGTTATTTGGTATGTGGTAACTTACATGTAATTTTATTAATTAAACCCAAATTTAAGTCTACTTTTGAAAGTATTGTTAATTATTTTTTGATTGAAATGCTGCATTTATTTGTAAGTTATACTCAGGAGACAAAATTCACGCTTAATTCGTGTTTTTTTCCTTTTTAGTTTTAAATCACTGGACCACAGATGCCTTCTAAAAACACTTTTAAATGTATTAATCCCACTCCATATTTTCTAAAGTTTGGAAATTACCTACATTAATAATGAAGGTGAAATCGCACCCAGAGTGATACTTTCACACACTTTCAAATTTCAGCTTTAACCCTTTGATTTTGATTAGTGGATAAAGTTTAAGGCAGCACTACACGCGCCACTCACTCACACACACACACACAAACACACACACTCCCTCCCTGTAAGGAGTGTCTCCGGGAGATGATTTCCTTCCCTGCGCGTCGTCCCCCTCGCACCCCCCCACCCCTCGTCCCCCGCCCTCCCGCCTCTCTGCTACGCAGTGTAAACACAGTGTTCCAGAGGAATGTTGGACTCCCTGACCTCCACTGCAGTTCACTCGGTTCAGCCTGGCCGCGCTGTGCTCCAGCATCAGCAGCAGCAGCCCCCACCTCCCCTCCCCATCTCCCCCTCACCTCCCCCTCCAGAGCCCCTTCACTCCACTCTCTCTATTTTTCCCCGCCTTGCCTTGCTCCTTCTCCTCATCTTGCCTCTTCTCCTCTTCTTCCTCCTCCTTTTTTTCTTACCCTTTTTTCTTTCCTGTCCTTGTCCCTCACCACCACCACCCCCCCAACCTCTTTTTTTCTTTCCCCTTGTTCTCTCCTTTCTCTTCTCTCTCCTTATTTCCTCAGTACACCCCCTCTCTTTCTTTCCCCATGCATTCCCACTTCTGTCGTTTACCTTGCAGTCATTTCACAGCGTAGCTGTGGATTGTGTCTCATTTCTATCTTCTTTATCTCTGGTTCAGTTCACTGCCTTGATTGGCACATCAGAATCCAAACAGACATGATCTGGACTTAAAACCTTTAGCAACAGTGAGACCACCAGGTACAAGACTGAGAACATGTAGGAGGTCTAGTAACCATATTCTACA